TGGCAACTAAAAGTTAGGAAAACTTATTATACAAACCACTCAATTCTTATGCAGTTACATATCTAACACCTAATCTCAATTTTTACAAGCATGAAACATGTATGAAAATAAAAGTTAGGTAAATTAGAAGCTAACTTTTGATAACCAAAGTTACAAGCATGAACCGTTTGTTGTAAGCATTGTTTTGTTGCAAGCAGTTACAAGCAAGTTCTCACAAAATATGAACATTGAAAGCCAACAACACATTCTCATTCAGCAAAGCAACGGTTGCCCATAAGGAGGACCATCCAAGCTACAATTGCAAACACACATTTCCAGCCCATAAGGAGGACCATCCACTAACAGATTCTCATTCAGCAAAGCAGCGGTTGCCCATAAGGAGGACCATCCAAGCTGCAAACACACATTTTCAGCCCATAAGGAGGACCATCCACCAGCAGATTCTCATTCAACAGTAAAGTTCTACAAAACAGTCACAAGCACTAAATGGGACAACAAGGATCCCACCGAGCAGGCAGCAGCAAGGCAAAACAGACACCAAAGACCATAAAGTGGAAGTCAGCCCACCTATGTAGACAGCAAGAATCCCACCCAACAGGCAGCAGAGATAAACTCAATGCAACAGTATAACAAAAAATAGCCACAGGAAGCCCTCCACCACCACCAAAGGAGATAACAGAGAGGTAACCAGCACAACACACCACCTCCTTCCAAAACCCCAGCAAAGCACCACCAAAACCAACCGCCAAACATACTGTTATATATATATTTCCCACAATGCACCTTGAACTATTTTAAGATTTTGGTCAACCTCGTTATGTGAGTATATCTTTGGGAATGTGTAGCTAATAAACTTTAGTTTTAATCTAGGATCCAAAATTGCTGCAATAGACATAAGAAGATTACATTCCCCCCAATATTTGTTGAATTTGACTTGCATACTCCTAGCCATATTCCTGATGTAATCATCTTCTGACAATGACTCTTCAATCAAAATCATCTTAACATGTGAGACTGCAGGTAAAAATATATTTGCAGTAGGATATTGTGTGCCAGAGATCATATTTGTAACATTATTGAAAACTGAAAGAAATTTTCTGATTTTCTCATATTTCACCCATTCTGAATCAACAGGCAACCATTTGTAGTTGCCCATAAGGAGGACCATCCAAGCTGCAAACACACATTTTCAGCCCATAAGGAGGACCATCCACCAGCAGATTCTCATTCAACAGTAAAGTTCTACAAAACAGTCACAAGCACTAAATGGGACAGCAAGAATCCCACCGAGCAGGCAGCAGCAGAGCAAAACAGACACCAAATACCATAAAGTGGAAGCCAGCCCACCTATGTAGACAGCAAGAATCACACCCAGCAGGCAGCAGAGATAAACTTAAATGCAATAGTAAAACAAAAAATAGCCACAGGAAGACCTCCACCACCACCAAAGATTGACTTGTTGTTTGAGATAAGATTCAACTCATCTGTATGTGCACAGGTAGAACTATTACATCTTGGGCACATGAAGAAGCTTTTCTTGAACAAACTGAGTTCAAATGGCTTAAAAGGTTACAATTACACCCTCAGGATAATTTCTTTTGATGGAGGTAGATGATGCTGCCATTCCTACACGAAAATGGTTACCAAGAAAGGGTTTGATAGACATTGTTAATTGTCCCTGGGACTGCGAAAAGGAATAGAATAGAACCCATATTACATTTGAATGTAAATTTCTAAAATATGTTACCCATATTACCTAACCCGAGTTAATATATCTGAGGAGGGCATTCTAATTTGCTCATATAAAAAAAAATTAGCTACCAAACCAATAAACTGTATTTGTTTGCTTTCATATGCAACATCATAAAACCCCTGCACCGTAAAGTTCATACTAATTTGCTTTAGTAAACCCAATGAACACTATAATTTCTAAATTAAGTTTCTGCTACTCATTTCCACAAGCAGGCTGCAGCTAGCCAACTACAACTCTACAAGTATACAACCAGGTAGAAAGTCCAGCCCAACCAAATCCAGGGAGGGAGAGGGGGAAAGAACCCTCTCACAATGTTTTGGGAGTTGCTGCACCTCTCCCAAGCCACAAAATCAAATACAGTTCTGCTATTCATTTCCACATGCATGATAGAACAATAGAACTCTAAACATTTTACATTGCATCTTAAACTCCATTACAAA